CAGAGAAGAGGCTGATAAGACTGGCTTTTCAGACAGGCACGATCTCACACACACGCACACGCACACATGCACACACCAAGCAGAACAACCATCCCTTTAAGTGCTCCTTTGGATGACGTCCATATAAGGAGATATTGGAGCAAGTCACATGGGGGGAGAGAATGCACTGCTCAGGTCATGTGACCATTCTGAGGAAATGAATGAATCTCCCTTTTTAAGGGTGTGTGTGTGTGTGAGTGTGATGGGGTGGGTGAGTGTGTGTGTGTGTGTGTGTGTGTTTATGGGTATGAATGCGCATGTTGCAATTTATTTTGCATTCTTAACAGATGTATATTTAAATTCATTTCTTCTTTCTTTTTTTTTTCAAACTTTATTCTCACCAACTCCTCCCTGACAATAAGTCTTCATTGTTTCCTCTGAACACTCATTCCATTGCTCAAGACATTTTAAAACTTGGCAGCGTGCGTGAGTCATCCATGCATGACAACACACATATACACACACACACACATACACACACACACACACACACACACACACACACACACACAGACACACTCCCTCCCTGCATTGCTCACTAGCACAGTCAGAGAATCTCACAAGCCTGGCTCTCGGCTCTGACTAAGACCGTATATGGAAGAAGCTAGCAGGTAGCTTCGGTCCACTTTCCTCTCATCCCTCTTCCTATTTCCAGCTCTCTATTTCTCTCTCAATCACATTCACTCGTTTCATTTATTTGCCACATTGCTCCTCACCCCTGAATCAACATGTCCCCTCTTTGTTTTCCCAGGGTCAGGACAGTTATAGGAGTGCAGTGTGAGGTCAGTGCACATATTTGCCTACCGGTCTTTCTCAGTCACTTATGGCATCACATTCCTGTCCAGTTTCATACACAGACATCGAGAGGAGGGGTGGCGAAAGAGAGGAAGGAAGGATGGTATGTGACATGCTGTAGGAAATGTAATATTACAACATAGTCATTTGTGCACAGGAAGTCCTATTTCAAAAAATACCTCAATTCTCAGGTCAGTGTGTGATTCTGCAGATTATTCTCGTTTCCAGAGTTCAAAATAAAAATGACCCAGCAGCATGTGGTTAAAAATGTTTTGTCGAGTTCACCTGAACAACGATGAACCTGTTTGGGGGCTCAGGGGCACAAAACTTTTTTTTGAATTTAATACTGGGCCTCTTTCTGAAACAGGGCCCATGATTAACTTCCTCAACATATTTGCACTTTCCCTCAAATTGTGTACCAACAACAACCAGGGCCTGTGGGACTCCTGGGGGTCTGAGACCACTGGACAGTTGCCTGCTCGTAATTTAGTTTTGACTTTAGACACTAATCCCACAGGCCTCAAGCTTGCATTATTCTCAGACAATCAAATTTGAATTAGTTTTCTTTATTACTGCTGCCAGGGAGATTATCTTTTCAACTGCCCAATTTTGTTGGTTGGTTTGCAGGTTTGTTTGTTTTGAGCAAGATTAGCAGCTATTTAGATTAGTTTACAGTACAAAGAGTCAAAAACAGTCCAAGGGTAAGAAAACACATGAACACATTGTTTGTTTCATCATCATCTGACAGAGCTAGTCTATCTATTCCCCTGTTTCCAGTCTTCATATTCCTATATGGAAACTAATGAAAAAATATACACTTAAACACATTAATTGTTTCAGTTTTTATTAAAAAAAAGAACATTTGAGCAGTAGGATATCCCAACGAGCTGCAGATACCAGTGTCAGAGCAGATTCTTCTTGTGTAGTCAAGCAGTCCAGCTCCTCCCCAGGTCTACCAGCTCCATGCCTTCACAGTACGACCGTGGCCTCGAAACCCGCACCTGCTTTCACACAGGAACAACACCACCACATAATCACATAATGAAACCAAATACATCCCTTTCTAGCCCACACAGAAAATCAAACGCTCACCGTGGGCGTCCTGTGGGAGGCCAGCTGCTGCAGAAGTGGGAATGGAGTCCAATGGATGGGTTCCACAGGCCAGCTACAGACGGAGAGGTCGCTGGCCTTTCCTGAGTCCAACACACCATCCCCCATACTCATTTCACTTCCCCTCCAAGCATACTGAGAGCTTCAGGTGATACACAGAGCCAGAGGTTCATTAAGGAGTGAGTGATTGAGCGTAAATACAAATACACATTTACATTTTTATCAAGAGTTACATAAAATAAAGATCAGGAGAGAGAAAGAAATGTTATTATTGAATATTCTGACATAATTTATCCAACATTGGCAGTTTTTTATGTGTAATGCTGAATGTCTGTGTGTGTTTGTGTGTAGGCCTGTGTGTTGTGTACCTGTGTGGGTAGATCGTATTGATGTGTGCTCCATGGCTGGGGCAGGTGGAGGCCAGTGACAGGGTGTCGTCATGGTAGCAGCAGGGGCGGTCAAGCGCCCGGAGGTGCAGTAACTCATCGGACCGCGTAAAGGCGGGATTGTCCATCGAGTCCGCAGATCCCGCCCATGAGCGCAACCAGAACCGACCTGACAGTTCATCAAAGTGGTTGAACCTGCGATAACTAAACACAGCAAATCATAATGAGGGAAGACTCACATATCTAGATTAGAGTTTAAGAACTGGCTGTGTGTAAAGGGAGGGATCTGAAAAGTCCCATATTCATTCTGCAGCGTGATCGTCATGTCCACTTTCCTGTTTCCTTCCCTTTGTATTAAGTTAATCGATAAATATAAACTCTTCATGGTTTTATATTTGAAGTTTTAAAGCGTTCTTGCTTTTGCTTTTTGACCCTAAAACTATTTGACTATGTACTCAGCCAGTAAACCTTCCATTCATGAAGGTTTTCAGTTTTTATTCAAACTGCATTGAATGTGTTGATTAAACTTTATGATCACTTTGAAGGAGATAGTTTGTGACGCTGTTGTATGGAGACAGCTGTTCTTTTTCAATTTTGTTCACCCTGTTCAAGATCAGTGAAGACAGATTCAGGGGCACTGATGATCTGAGAGTATATATGTATTCAGCAGCACTTTATTAGTACACTCTACATGCTGGGCAGGGCCTGCGTAAAAAGCCTAACTTCCTCGTGACATGGATTCCACAAGATATCTGAAAAATGTTCCCTTAAGACTGCTGTATGATATCATAACTGCATCACATCAATTCCTTGCGTTTGTCAGTTGCGTGTTGACACTGTCTATATCCTGTCCCACCACATTCCAGATGTGTTCAACTAGCTTCACGTCTGATAACTGGTGCACACATCCAGATATGCTGCGACATTGAAATCACAACAGTTGGGTATCAGTGTCCCTGAAGGAAACATTCCCGTCGCCAGCAGCGGCCCTTTGGTCAGGTGGGTGAGCGCAGGTAGTGACGGACAGGTCTGAATGAAATGATGGGTCGTTTTTTTTATTAGTCTTGCAACAGACACCGGCTTTTTTCTTTCTTTCTTTTCAGATGGTTTCATTTATTGATGGCTATCGAGACGTGAAGAGGATTTACAACAAATAAGACAAAATAGTGTTTAACATACAAATTATGACTTCACCTTTAAAGTGGATATATTGTCAGTCACTTTTTACTCCATCGCATATATCAGCAAATATCTGTTCAGCTCAGCGCTCATCCTCAGTGAGTGTTTTCGACAGCCATACTACACCACCTAGTGGACATGTATGTCGTTACATCTACTGTACCTGCAGATTTGACCATCTCTGTGGTTTTACCTTCCTGGATTAAAACACATTATCTCCCACCAGGTCATCTGAAGCCTTGTTTTGTAAAATGCATCATTGTTTTGACCATATTTGTTAACGTGTGTGTTATATTGATATTTAAAAAGCATATGGCACTGCTCTGTTTTGGTGTTAATACTTCGGTATGTTGGGAAGACTTGTGCACTAATAAACTAAAAATGGGATTTTTATAACAGTGATTTATGCACAGAGGAGGATTTTCAATGCTTTAATAAGAACCATCAGACCTGCAGCAGGAGCAACAGTATCTAGGAAGCTCATCAGCTCATATTAGGTCAATCATCAGGTCAATTTTAACACTTTAACAAAGACTTAAAGGAACTGAAATCAAGTGAACTTTTTAAAAATCCACAGATTTTATGCTATTAAACGTTATTTACTGTGGGGAAAAAAGTACAAATAAATACTTTCAGTTGTGAAACTGGTATTAAATTGTATTATACATGGTACTGGAACGATTCCAGTTTAACTGGGTGAACCCTGCAGAAGCCCTGTGTGGAATATTTCTCATTGTTTATACTAATCTTTTGTATTGTAGGCTGCATGTTGAGGAGAATTTCATCACTGGTAATGATATCTACATTGTTATAAAATACATGACACTGTTGTACTTGAATGTTGTTATAATATGTACATGGACACATCCGTGAGCGAGTGTGTACCTGCTGCGTGTTTGATCGACTTTGGCCTGGATCAGAATGGCTCGGTAGCGTCGCACTGCCAAAAAGGCCAAAAGGCTGATGACTGTCGCCAGGATGACCAAGATGGCAAGACATGCGCCCACGAGACGCGCTCGAGTCATCCGCACGTCACACCTCTGACCCATGTACCAGAAGTCCTCTCCTACCAGGCAGCTAATCCACAGAAACACAGACACACGCACAGACATTTCTTAGATATA